GAGAGAGAGAGAGAGAGAGAGAGAGAGAGAGCAATGAAAAAGAGGAAAATACTAGGGATGAGCTAGAAAATATTAGGGTAGAGCTACAAAATATTTTGATATAAGCTAGAAGATAATAACTTAGGGGAGAGCTACAAAATACTGGGGATAAACTTGAAAATATTTGGGATGAGTTAGAAAATATTAGGGAATACTGGTAATGAGGTGGAAAATACTGGGCATTGAGCTAGATAATACTGCTGATGGAACTAGAGAATAGTGGGGAATATTCGGGATGAGCTAGAAAGTACTGGGGAACACTGGGGCTGGAACTGGAAATTACTGGGGATGGATCTACAAAATATTGGGGATAAACTAGAAAATACAAGGAACACTGAGGATGAGCTAGAAATTATTAAGGACAAGCTAGAAATAAATAGCGATGGGCTATAAAATACTAGAGATGAGTTCGAAAATAATAGGAATGAGCTAGAAAATAGTGGGGAATATTTGGGATGAGCTAAAAAAAAATATTGGGGAAGAGATAGAAAACATTAGGTATGAGCTAGAAAATACGGGGGATGAGCTAGAAAACATTAGGGATAAGCTAAAACAAATACTGGGGAAAATGCTGCGGATGTGTTAGAAAATATTAGGGATGAGGGTAGAAAATATAAGGTATATGCTAGAAAATACTAGGGATGAGCTATAAAATAATAGGGATGTGGTAGAAAATATTAGGGATGAATTAGAAGATATCGTGGAGAAATGGGGATGAGCTGGAAAATACTGGGAATGAGCTAGACGATATTAGGGTTGAGCTAGAAAATACTGTGGATGGAACTAGAAAAAAACTAGGGATGAGCTAGGAAATATAAGAGACAATAACAAAATTCTAAGGATGAGACATAAAATATCAAGGAGGAATTACAAATTATTAGGGATTAGCTAGAAAATATTAGGAATGAGCTAAAAAAAAATACTGAAGATGAGCTAGAAAATATTGTGGATTAGATTTTTAAAAACAACAATTATTGAGGATGAGATAGAAAAGTCTGGGGGATATTTGGAATGTGCTACAAAATATTGGGGAGGCGAAAAAAGATATATGGCATGAGCTAGAAAATATTAAGGATCTAAAAATTGTAGAAATGGGATTTAAAATGTTGTGGATGAGACACAAAAGTCTTGGAATATTGGGGATGAGCTAAAAGTTATTGGGGATTCGCTAGAAAATATAACGGATGAGCTAGAAAATATTAGGGAGGAAGTAGAAAATACTGGTTAGGAGCTTTAAAAAAATTATGGATGAGCTAGAAAATACTAGGGATGAGCTAGAAAATAATCGGAATAACCTAGAAAATATTATTCATGGGTTAGAAAATATTAGGGATGAGCCAGAAAATATTAGGGTAGAGAGAGAAAATACTGGGGACGATCTTGAAAATATTGGGGATGAG